TCTCCGCCAGCAGATACCATTAACCTTGCAGAGCAGCCACGCTGGCCCTGGCACAGACTCTTCTCTGTCAGGTCGGGAGGAGTAATTTCATGTTGTTTGTGTATACTGTGTCACTCCGCAGTCTCCCACGTAGTGCTCCTGGTCTTCAGCTTCCGCAGTTCCTGTGGATGCTGCTCGTTGCCATCATTACCCACTGTTTGGCTGCCTGGTCTCAAAAGCAATCCTCAAACCCCGTCTTCTTCCCCATCAAGTGAGAATGACCACTCTTCTATCACCATTCCTTCCTTAAGCTCAGCCCCTTGGGGCTGTTCAACCTTGTTTGTGCCTGGGGAGCTGAAATCCTTTGCAGTTGTGCAATGTCTGCTTTTGCCACCAGCCCATCCCTGGGAGATGTCCATCCAGAGGGCTACCATAACATAAAGCCACTCCATAAAGCCACTCCCCACACCATGGGGACAAAATCTGGCTTTCCCTGTGTCCTGCTTTGTGGGGACTCTAGGGAGCTAGGTAGCTCTCTCCACACTGGGCACAGCAGCACCTCACTGCATCTTCCCTAAAATTTTGCTGCAGCTCCATCCCCATCCTCTGTGTGGGAGAAGAACTTGAGAGTTATGAGGATGCAGAAGGATTTAWTACATGGGAATGAGGAAGCACCTGGTGAACTAAGTAGATGGGTTTAAAGCAGAGAAAGAGGATAATATCTGGGGCCTGTTGTCCATGAACAAGTGCAGAGAGTCCAGGTGCTCAGAGGGAGCTGTGAATGAACAACCTGTGGGACTTTTCGGAGAAGCTCAGTTTGACCAGGACTCTGGATCTCCTAGCAGAGCTCCTGGTTGGCAAAACGCACAAATTAACACCAGAAAGGGAAAGCAAAGGTGGCATGGAGTAACAGTAATGCTGACAAATCAGAGGGTAGTGTGCTGGGTGAGCTGTTAAAGCCTGCTGGGCTGCAGAAAATCTCTTGGACAGCAGCTGTGGCATGGATTCTTAGGGATCCAATGTCTCTCCAAGATTTGACTAGGCCACAGACTGCGGACACAGCTATAGCCCACTGCCACCAACAAACCATGTTGGTGTTTCCCATTTTTTTCTGATGGGAAAACTCATCCTGCTGTCCATGAGGCTGCAAGGATGAGGCTTRAGCCTGGAGACAAGGGCAGAGGGGAGGAGCTGGCCAGGATAGGAACCTTCTGCSGGCTCTGTCCAGGCTCTGTTCCCAGCAGAGGAGGGAGAGAAGKGACATGCACAAAGGCAGGCAGCAGAGCAGGTCACAGGGGATGTCCCAGGCTTGTGCATCCTGCACACCTGAAGCATCAGCTCTGCTCAGTGCTGGATGCTCAGTGACCACCTGCAGTTTCTTTCACTCCCTGGCACCAGCAGTGCTTGCAGGCCGGGTTTGAGGCAGAGTATTGGAGATCACAAACCACCGGGGAMCAGGATGTACCCAAACAAATGTACCTGGTCACAGGCCCCATCCTTGCTCAGATCCTGCTGCCAGAGCCCCATCCCTGTGGACCCTGACACCGTCACTCCTGGGAAATTCATCTCATGCTCTGACAGGGCACATTGGCATCAAAGCTATGTATGTGGGTAGAGGAACAGCCAAGTTAAAYCACTGTCCCACTCTGGGACACTCATTTAGGTGACAGACTGGGTCTGCTGGGGCTGTTCTCCCTGTGCTGGTAGCAGGCGTGGAGAGCGCACGTCTGGGCCAGCTCCTGGTTGTATAACGTTGTCTAGAGCCAGGACTGGAACGGGCTCCCTGCGAGGACTCGCTGTACCCTGGTGGGAGGCGCTGCCTGATCCTATGCTGCCGGTGCCCGTGGGCARGCAGAGCTGGCACAGGGCACGGTTGCGGCACACCTGCGATGGGCAGGCTTGCCAGCAGCTCTACCAGAGACCGGTCCTGGCATGCGTGCACTGGGAAGAACTGCCTTCTCTTCTCCTGACCTGGGCTGCAGGGAGMCCCTCCAGTCTCAGCCCAAGTGGTCCCATCCCTCAACCAGCTGCTCTGCAGATGCTGGTGTTGCAGGCTGGAGGATGGAGCCCTTTGGGAGCTGGTCTAGCTTGGCGGGGCTGGGGGAAGCTGAAGGGTAAGAAAGCTCCATTTCTCTGCTCCCTCCTGCTAGGAGCATCTTCCCAACCCTCAGCAACACCCGAGCTTGAATGGCCAATAACCCCTGTGCTCCCCCATTTGTCTCGCTGCAGAGTCCTGGAGGGGTGAAAGGCAGTGCCCCTGGTCCAGCCCTGCTGCTAGCTTGTCCGCCTGCCTTCTGACTTCTCCTTTGGGGCATTTGCTCAGCTGCGGAGGGGATTCAACAGCTGCTTTCTTCAGGGAATGATGCCCACCATCCCTGGGGAGTCCCCGTTCCCCTTGGGCATCCTCCAGCCGACTCTCACTCCCTCTATCCTGGGCTTGCCAATGGGGAGCACAGGGGTGTCCACCACACTGAGGTGCTCCTTGCTCAGATCTGGGAGCACGACTCACTGCTCTCCAGMGGGAGCTTCCATTTCTTAACCCGGYTTTCCCTTTCCAAAGGGCTCCTGGTCCCAGGAGAGGTCCAACAGAGCTGGGCCTGGGCTAACTCTCGGGCCAGAGGTGATGGGGGTGCAGGAGGAGACTCTGATCTCTGGGCTACATGGCAGCTCTCAGCCACTCGCCCGTGTGCGAGGCTCCCACGGGGCTGGGCTGGGACACGGCGTACGTGAGGAGCTGGCAGGGATGTTGCATAAGACCGTCTGCTTCGGTGGCAGCCGAACTTTCCCAGATGGACTCCTGGTGTTCAGAACAGAGCGGAGCCCAGCAGGGACTTGCAGGGCAGGAGGTGCTCCCTGACACAGCCCTGACCGCTGGCTCATCCCCAGGGACCACCAGGGACTGTCCACACGCCCCACGTTGGGCCAGCCCAGGGCTGGAGGGCGCTTCCTTGCTCCACACACACCTGGGCCCAGGAGGCAGGAGCGGCTGCACAGTTCCCGTGCTGCCAGGGCCCTCCTTGCAGCGTCTGCGGTGCCAAGGCTGCCCAAGGAGCCGCTCCGTGCCCGGCATGCCGGTGCAGGCTCTGCCGGCGCCCCAGCATCCGCATGGAGAGACATGTGCGGGGGCTGGACAGCCCTGGGCCGGGCCTACATCGTGGGAGCCCTGGGCCGGGCCTACATCACGCCACGCCTGGGAAAACACTGCTCAGGGCGGTGGCAGCCGCTTCTCGTTTTTGACAAATAAGCCGTTTCTTAGAAGCTTCCTGAGGCGCCGCCTTAACCCTTTCGGGCACTGCAGGAAGTGGTGCAGGCTGAGATGGCAACGGGAACGTGTTAACCCTCTGCTGCCCACACCAGGACAGCCACGCAGGTCCTGCTAAAGACATGAGCGCTGTGTGACTTGTCCCTGCTGCCTGTGTCCACCCCTGCCCCAGCTTTCCTGCACATCAGTTGGGATAGGGCACTGCTGAGCACTCCTAGTGCCTGGTGTGCCGAGCTGGGCACTCTCCTGGGATGRCGGGAAGAGGTTGGTAGCATTATTGGTTCCTCTGATGACGGGAGTAGCATTGGGGAACTGGTGCTCATGTGCCCGTGGGAGAAGTAGAAGTAAAGGAAGGGATAGGGACTTGCTGACCGGCACTGGGGAATGAACGTTCCCGGGGCCGGGAGCTGCACCGAAGTGGCCGGGGCAGCTCAGCGAGGCGCAGCGGTGGCTTCCAGTGGTGGCTTCCAGTGATGGCACGTGCCCGCCGCGGGGAGGGCTTTCTGCCGGGGCTGCCCTGTGCCATTGGCTTGCGCCGTGTCACACCACGAAGCGTCGGGGAGCGGGAAGGGCTCTGCCCACGGGAGGAGGCTCCTCTGGAGCAGCGGCGGGGGGGCCCTGGTGCCAGGGGGGCCCTGGTGCCAGGGTGCTGAGTGATTGCACTGCAGGGCAGGAGGGCCCCCCGGACTGTCCCTGTTCCCCAGGGGACATGCTGGGAGCCCCTAGACGGGGGTGAGGATGGGCAGAGGTGGCAGGCAGGGATGCCATGCTCTGCATCCCTTGCATGGAGCCAGGGCACAGAGCTGCTTGCACAGGGCTGGGGCTGGCTCCCTGCTCAGCACCTGCCCAGGAAAGGGCTGGACACCCCAAAACGGTTTCAGATTGAGAGATATCGGCCCATGTTTTGGTGTTTACGTCGGGTTGCCAAGGAGCCACGGGTGCTCAGCGCTGGTGGCTCAGTGATGACTCACCCTGTGCTGAGGCTAATTAAGGCAGAGAGCTAAAACAGTGAGAAAAGGCCTTGTCTTGAGACCCCATGAGTCCCACACACCTCCTGACACTGCTGGTACCCCCTGATCTTTAACCGTCACCCTGATGTCACAGGCACCCTTGGAGCCCACACCTTGTGGGCATGAGCATGGCTGGGGAAGCATGYACCATCCCCACTGCCTCCAAGGGCAAGTGGAAGGAGAGAGCTGGGACATGGTTCCAGGGAGGAAAAGCTGCCTGCACTGCCTAGGAGCTGTGGGATCAAGGAGCTTTCCCCAGCCCTGAAGCGCCCCACGATCTTGCACAGCCCTTTGGGATCCAGAGTGGGGCACAGATTGGCAATGCCAGCCCAGTACCTACCACCCCATTCCCAACCACAAACAGCTGCAGGAGCCAGAGTGTATGAAAAAAAGTAGAGTTTATTGCCACCTCTACCTAGATTTACACAGCGATGTCACTGCTCTGACAGTCTGACGTCAAAGCGGACGTCCCGTCCTGTCCCTTCCCCGCACGCTGCCGGGGCGCAGGCCGGCGGCTCCCTGAGAGCCCCATGGGCTGCAGCGCGTCCCCGCCGCTCTGCCCCGCGCCCCGCCGGCCGCCCCACGGCGCGGGACACGCAGCACCGCACGCCCCGGCGCCGCTCCGGGCTCGCCTCGAGGGCCCCAGCTGTGTGGGGACGGGCACGGCGGCCCCTGGGCAGCACCCCGGTGCCCGCTCGCCTCGTATCCGCGTGCGCTCACGCGGAGATGCGTCTGCAGAAGATACCCCAGCTACAAAACCCAGCGTTTCCTTGTAATCCCCACGCTGATGTGCGTGCAGCCATGCACGGCAATGTGCACGGCACTGGCGCTGCTGCTTCAAGTCAGCTTTGGGTTGCAGCAGGCTCCGGGGACACAGCGGTATCTCTTGTGAAGCAACCGTCTTCCTCCAAGCTCAGTCTTTGCCAGACAGAGACCCCCCTGCTGCACAGTGCAGCAAAGGCCCAGGGCTCAGCATGCGCCTTTTCCAAACTTGTATTCCCATGCGTGCGCCCAAGGCCCCGCCGGCATGTTGCAGGCTCCCAGGTTTCAGCAGAGCTTGTGGTTTTCCTCCCAGTGCGTGGTGGGGGGAGGCCGGCCGGCGTGGCGTGGGGGGGTCTGCTGCAGCCCCGCGTCTCCTTCGCCGAAGAGCATCTCCRTGCAGGAGGCAGCAGCTGGCTCAATGTCCGGATGGGCTTGCCCGGGGGGCACCTCTGAGCACCCCTGCGGGTGCCAGGCTTTGGCAGTCCTCCGTGAGACGAAGGCAGAAACGATTTTGCGGGAGATTGGAAGTAGAAAGAGTTCTGTGGCTCTGCCCACCCCGAGGACAGAGCCACCTTATACCGCAGAGCCCCCGGCGTGCTGAGCCGGGGCTGGCGCCCCCGGGCTCTGCTCCTGCAGGCTCAGCACCTCCGCGGGCAGCCGCGACTGGAACTTCTCCAGCTGCTCGGGGCTGGCGAGGGTTTTCAGAAGGCTGTTTTCTCGCTCCAGCTGGGAGTTTTTCTCCAACAGTTCTTTGATCTGYTCTTTCAGCACCTCCACCTCCTCTCGCACAGCGTACATGAGGTGATTTTTCACTAAGTCCTGCAAGAAGCCAACCAACAGCCCATTACTTCATGGTTAGACCCTTGGGACTGCTTCCCCCCAGCTCTGCAAGGCTCTGTCCCCCAGCCTCTTGCCAATCCAGAGCCAGCAGCAACCTCCGGCTTCTMCAAACCCTTTGGCCTCAGTGCCTCCAGGGGCTTTCTCCGTCCTGTACTTCCCCAACGGCAGCTCCTACTGCTCTTGGGACACACACTGCCTTTCCCCCATACCCCTCAGCACCAGAGGATCCGTCCTCGGCACCCTGTCCCCGCACCGTGCACTGAGCCGTGTCCGTGCACCGAGCCATGTCCATCTGGGCGCTGCTCCGTGCGCACTGCGGCGCTGCTGGAGCCAATGAGCTCTGCCAGCAGCGGGCGGCAGACAAAGGACCCCGGCCCCCCCTGCTCCTGGCCACCGCCGCGGGGACCCATCGGACACCCCGGGATGCAGTGCGAGGTCAGCTCACCATTGCCTGCTCGATCTTGTTGTCGATGGCTACCACACTGGCTCCAGAGGCACTGGAAGAGAGCGGAGAGGCAGGGCGGTCAGCAGCGTCTCCCACTTTCCSGGTCAGTCACGCTCCCCGCTCTGCACCGCGCTCAATGCACTGGGGACCGAGCATCACCCTGCACCGAACTGCAATGCAGCGGGGGCTGCAAGGCCACCAAGCCCCCCCCACACACCACAATGCACCGAGGGYCCCCCCCGGGCACCAAGAGCAGCGCGGCCGGCACCGGGGCTGCCCCTACCTGTTGTCGAGCTTCACGGAGACCACGTCCCCCCCGAGCAGGGAGGAGAAGAAGGAGATGGAGAAGTTGTGGAGCTGGTAGACAGCCACCTCCATGGGGGACTGGTAGAGGCCGGTGCTCATAGCTGCGGCGGTGGCGCGGAGGGCTCTGCGCACTGCGGCTCCGCGCTACCGCCGCCCGCTATAAGGGCGGCCCCACGTCACGGGGCGTTACCGGGGGCCGAGCCGGGCCGAGCCGAGCCGAGCCGCCTCCTTCGCCGCTGCCCCCGGCCCGGCAGCGCGGCCTGCAGCTCTGCACCCCGCACCTCGCTCTGCAGCCCCGGACCCCGACACAGCAGCCCTGCACCCTGGCACAGCACCCAAGTCTGCAGCTCTGCACCCTGCACCCCGGCACTGCACCCTGCTCTGCAGCCATAGACCCCAACACCACATCCCCACACCCTGGTACAGCACCCAAGTCTGCAGCTCTGCACCCTGGCACTGCACCCTGCTCCACAACCCTGGACACCAACACAGCATCCCCACACCCCACACCCTGGCACAGCACCCCAGTCTGCAGCTCTGCACCCTGGCACAACACCCCAGTCTGCAGCTCTGCACCCTGGCACGACGCCCCGCTCTGCAGCCCTGGACCCTGACACAGCAGCCCTGCACCCTGGCACAGCACCCCAGTCTGCAGCTCTGCACGCTGGCACTGTGCCCTGCTCCGCATCTCTGCACTCCAGTGCTGCATCCCAAGCCCTGGCACACTGGTCTGCAGCACAGCACCCTGGCTTGCAGCCCTGCACCCCAGCACTGCACTTTGCTGCCCTGCACCCCAGAGCAGCATCCCTACACCCCGCTCTGCATCGCTGCATCCCTGTATGGATTCCTGCATCCACTGCACTCCTGTATGCAGCCCTGCACCTCAGGGCAGCATTACTACAACCCAGCACAGCAGGGTCTGCAGCCCTGGACCTGGGCACAGCACCCCGCTCTGCAGCCCTACACCCCAGTGCTGCAGACCCTGGCACAGCACCCCCATATAGCACCTCAGCTCCCTCCGCATACCCTCCGCAGCTCATCTCCATACCCCCCTATGCCTCCGTGCTCTCACCCTGCATGCGGGGGCTCAGCACTGCCATCCTGCACCACAACACGCCCCTTTGGGACTGCACTCCCAAACTGTGCACCTCTGCACCCAGGCCTGCATCGCCACTCTCCTGAACCTGAGTCCTGGCACGCCGTGCATTCCCAGCACTCTTCTGCACTTTCTCCATTTCCTGCATTCCCTTCATTCTTCTGCACCCCATTTCATCTGCAGACCCACATAYCCGATCATGCCAGGGGCATGGGGGAGTTGCCTGCAGGCATCCTTCTGCAGCCTGCAAGGCAGCTCTTGTGACTGCCACTTTGGGACAAAGCAAGAAGGCAAAGGGTCATGCCGGGGGCTTGCAATTTGGGGTGCATGTGCTGCAAGGGACCCTGAGACCTTGATGGGACTACAAATACTCTCTCAAGGGGAAAAGCAATCGGTGTGCAAAGCAACAACAACAACAACAACAAACGCAGTGCAAAGCAAAGAAAAATCGCTGTGCAGAACAAAAAAAAATCGCTGTGCAGAACAAATAAATAACCGCGGTGCGAAACGGAACGCGGCCTGGACCCGAGTACAAACAGCCCCGCCCGGGCCAGCCTTACATAACCCGCCAGCAAAACATGTTTGCGCCGCCCGGCCCGGAGGAGGCCGCCCCCCGGCGGCCAGAGGCGGGACTGCAGCGGGGACCCCCCCGCGCTGCTGCTCTGGGGCCGGCAGGGAGGCAGCTCTGTTTGGGGGACAACCAAGGCGAGCTCATCTTCTCCATCCCCCCCGGACCATGGTGACAACGCTGGATTTGTCCTTGCCGCACAGAGCCAACATTGGCCTGGCACTCGGATGTGATCCGCGCCGCCAGCTCCCAGCCTTATCTCTGCCCTCTGGACCCCGCTGGACTTTGCTCAGTGCCCGGCGTGCGTCCCTGCCTGCTCCCTCTGCCCCCAGCCTTGCAGAGCTTAAACAAGGACAGCAGCGATGCCAAGCACGGCCACGGCCCCGTGCACCCGCATCCCGGACGCGCCAGGGCACAGCCTCAGCCGAAGCGGCACAGCCAGATTTCCCTTCACTTGCTGGGATGCAGGAGCACCAGCTTCCTGGGAAGGAAGAACGCCAGCCACCGGGCAGCACGACTGGGCACCTCCCTGTGCCCTGCATGCCCTGCCGCACCCCCCTGAATGCAGGCACGTGGTGGCATTTCGTGCCCAAGCAGCAAAGGGTGCAAGGACTCAGTGTGGGACGGTGCCCTGCGACATGCCTGGCAAGGAGTGGTGCAGCCTGGCACCTTCGGGACCTCAAAAACACACGCATGGGATGTAGAGGGAGATCCTCCCGCCTTGCATCCCTTCCAGCACCCGAGACCCTTTTCCCCCTCKTTGTCCCTGCAGACGTGGCACATGTCCCTACTCACCAGTCCCTCCTCCTGAAGAGGCTGGGGGAGTAGGGCGGCGGCAGGGCCATGTCGGCGCCCCGCTCCGCTCCGTGCTGCAGCCGCGCGCCCCGGGCAGCTCTGCCSGGCACAGCTGGGTGTCGGGCACCGTGCGGGCTCCGAGCGCGTCCCCGCGGGGCCAGGAGGGGCCGCGGGCGCGGGGTGCACCCGCCGGGCGGGTGACCTCAGCGGCGCTGAATCGGCCCTTTCATGACCGCAGGGACCGGGTGCCACCCCGAGCCGCGTGGGTGCCGGGCCCGGAGCGGGCGGGCGGCCCCCGCTCTGCGGGCAGATGAAAGCCGCTCTGTGCACGCTCATCCCCGCGGCGGCCGCTGTGGGCAAGGGGGTGGCCGGGCCCTCTGCCCCTTGGCTGGAGCACCCCGGGGTGCCCAYGCCAAGAGGCGCTGGGACCAGTGCGAAAATGAGCGGAGGTGAGAAAATCCYGGCTCTGCTGTCCCAGCTCTAGCAGTGCAGCCTGCTCCAGCAGCAGGGAAATCAGCGCAGGATGTAGGGACTGAGATACAGGGACCGAGTCATGTGCTGGCTCTGCCCTGCACGGAGGTGATGGGCTGTGCTCCACACTGCCCTTGTCCCTGMGGAGGAGCTGGGATGAGGGCAAGGCCGCTTGGCATGAGCATCCATGAGCTGAAATCCCTCCCTGGCAGCAGGATTGAGCGGAAAAAGCGAGCGAGTGAGGGAATTGGGGGCTTCCCAGCTCTGCCATTGCCCCAGCGGCTGCCCGTGGCTGTCACTGCCCTGTGGCCGGGGTTTACTGGTGAGGATGCTGAGACACATCCAGGCCAGGGATGTCCTTCTGGGATGCAGGTGCACGAGGCTCTGGATATTTAGGGGTGCAGCCAGCTGAACCCCCTTCACCTACCCCTCCTGGAAGGATGTCTTTGGGAGGCATGCAAGGACCCRTGTTATGAGTGAGACCTCCAAGGAGCCACGGGGACATCCAAGAACTGCTCTCAGTGGCGTTTTCCAGGAGTCCCAACCCCCAGCTCTCCTCTCTTAGCGCTGGCCAGCACCGCACATCTGGAGCAGCAACAGCCCGACGAGGCGCTGAGCAGGAAGGGATGTGGGGCAGCGGCTGCACGGCCTCCAGCTGCGCCCCGGGCGGCAAGGGGCCCTTTCCCAGCCCCCCGTGGCCCCGGCACACGCTTTTCCCAGTATGCTGGCCCTGTTCCAGCCAGATGAGCTTCCTCTCCCACCACTCCCCTTTTAGGGACACTAAATACACCAGCTCTCACATGCCTCTCTCTCCTCCTGCAGCCCCTACGACTGGGTGCTCAGCTCCAAGGGGTGGCAGGTGGGACACATGTCCCAGTGCTTCCTGACCCCTGCAGTCCAGCCCCATGGTGGCAATGGGAGCTGCAGGAATTGCTCGTGATGTTGGGAGGAGTCCCCTGCTTCCCGCTCCCCCCYGTCCCAGCTCAGGGCCCTCTCTGCTGCTCAGTGGCAGCATTTCTGCCTTGCTCCCTTCCAAGGACTCTGCTCAATGGGAGGAAGGCCCTCTCRAGGGCCCGAGGCGTGGGAAATGTTTCTCGCCTGGCTGCCGAGACACTGCAGAGCAAAAGGGGAAAGGCATCGAGCCAAAGCTGCCCAGGCCGCTCAGCAAAGCCGCATCTCTGGCTTGCAGGGTCAGCGCGGGGAAGCGTAGCGCAAACGTGCAGCTACAAAGCTCTGGMATCTGCAGCCCAAAATTCTGCAGCCGTGGCCCTGCTGGCCCAGGTCGCTGAGAATGTCCATGTTAGAGCTATGGAGGAGYGGCTGGGGACACCGGTGACAAGCTGGGCATGTGGACTCACATCTGGGAAGGGCCAGGTGTCCTCAGGAGGGTGTCACCTGGCTCCCTATGCAGCCAGGAGATCTGAGACATGGGGACCGGCTTTGGGCCCACTGGAGCATTGGAGGGCTCACAGACCTCCCCGAGCTCCTGCATCTTGCCTGCCAGGCACGCCGGTGGCACTGGCACGGATTGCGGCCCAGGGACTCCTCGGAACCTGCGGAGCTGCGCGGYGGGAGGAGGGAGGCAGCTGGCAGCCGCCCATGTCCAGCTGTGGGGCGGCCCGTTTCCTCCGATAACGGCGCTTGGCAGTACTCCCAGTCCCGGCTTTGCGGCGCGCGCACACCCCAGCGCCGGCGGCCTGCTCGGAGCGGCACTTTTCCTTTCCCTCTCTAACGCTGCCGCTGGCCCCGCTCTTGTAGCCACCGGCTGTGCAGCCGGAGTCCCCTCGCTTGCCCCACGGTCAGCACCCAACAAGTGTTTCCTACAGAGGATGCTCACAGAAGAAGTCCCAAGGCGTCTGCACAAGGAAACCTCGGGGCTGTTTCCCCAGAGGAAGGGGGCCCTGCGGAGACACGTGCCCCCCAGGATACCTCCCCTTGCTCTCTCCGAGGCGCTCGGGCTTTGCTTGCTATTGCTGGGCAGACAGGGCTGCTCACAGCYGCCCCCTCAAAGCCCCTTCCCACATATGGGAGCAGGCACCGCTCGGCCAGGCATGAGTTTGTTGGGGCTCTGCCGGCGCACAAGCTCCAGTTAAGGTCAGGCAAGGACGCGTGCCAGAACTGCAAACTTTCAGCCGAGCCTGTCATTAATCCCCCTGCCTGGCCTTTGAGAAGCATCCTGGGCATCCTGGAGCAAGGACGTTTCGCGAAGACTGCTGCCCTGCTGACATTTGGGGACAATAACAACGCGAAAGGCAACAAGCCGTCGGCGGGACGGGCACCTGCGGCCATCCATGTGGCCTGTCTGGGCCGCCAGACGCCGCCTGGCACCACGTGCCAGCGCGCAGGGAATGGCTCAAGGTTATTTGTAGCTTCTGAGCAGCACAGAGTTGTTCGGCTCGGGGCCTCAGATCTGTCACCCAAGGCATTCTGCAGCAAAACCCCTCCAATATATATGTGTATATATATATATAAGTACATAAACACGCGCTGGGGGATTCTCCACAAGTGGAGGGCTCATGTTTTTTCATTGCAGGATAAGCCAAGTCTTGCTCAAGGCTGTTCCTAGCCGGCGGCGGCAGAGCTCCAGTGCCCCGGGCAGCGGAGGAGCCCGGCTGCTCTTTGCAAGCTGCTTGGGCTGCACCGGAGCGGGACGGGCTGTTCTGCCCAGCACAAGAGCAGCTTTTCAAGCCCTTCATGCCCAGTGAGCCGGAGCTAAAGCCTGGAGCGCTGGATGCGGGTCACTGTCACAAGCGGGGTTCGGGGTGCATCCTGTGCCGTGCTGCCGGGGACCGTGAGCTCGCCGACACTTTCCTGGTGCTCGGATTGCACCTACCCAGCATGCTGGCCACCAGCCCAACAGCTCCGGGCTATGGGTTTCACTGGGGTTTAGCTGGCTGTGCCAGCTGCCCGTGGCCGAAGGGCAAAGCCTTGCAGCCAGAGGCACCTCCAGCACTGTGGAGGAGAGCTGCTGAGCGCAAAGGCAGCTTAGGGAGCCTCCTTTCTGCAGAGAGCTGGGCCTGGGGGTCCCAGCAGGGTGAGGCAGGCGGTGGCGCTGGAGGGATGTGCGCAGGGTGGCGTGGGTGCTGTGGCCAGGGCAGCCCTGCAGAGCCCAGGGTGCAGCTTGGGCGCCATGGCCAGCCCTGCAGAGCCCAGGGTGCAGCTCGGGCGCCGTGGCCGGGGCAGCCTGCAGAGCCCAGGGTGCAGCATGGGCGAGCTGCGCGGCCGCCGGCAGACCCGCCTCTTCCTCTGCACGCTCAGATCCAGCCTCCGCGGGGCTGCACATGTTGCCCATGTGCTGCTCCAGGCCTCCCTCCCCCTCGGCTCCCCGGGGCCTCCTCCACCAATCTGCGCTCGGCCCAGCCCTGCGCAGGCACCGCCGGGTTGAGTAACAAGAAGGGAGCTGCCGCTCTGCCCGCCCGAGCTCRCAGCTTCCCTGCCCTGAACCTCCATCTCTGCAAGGAGATGTCTGTGGGATGTCTGCGATGGAGAGCAAGGGGGGTGCAGGGAATAGGTCTGTGCCTGGTGACCCACCACCATTTCGGGCAAGGGGAGGATTTGGGCACCCTGAGCTCAGCTTAGCCAAGGAAGAGGTCTCCAGCGTGCCCAGCATCCATAAGGCTTGGCAAGGCAGGCTGCAAAGCAGGGCCCACACGCAGCTCTGCTCCCCAAGAGCAAAGCGAAGGAGTCCCATCCATGCACTGCTCCAGGAAGGGAAGGGTCATTTCCAGAGCCTTGTGGGAACTGGGAGAGGGCACCGAGCACAGGGAACGCTGCCCCGGCCGAGCAGTCTCACACCCACACCTCTCTCACGCTCACACATGCTCCTGCACACAGCCCCTGTCCCGGTCAAAGCCGCCTTGTTGGTGGCCGGCCCACTCTCCGGGCTGGAATGTGCTCCCCGGCCCTGCTGCCCTTTACACGCTGGCTCCCTCTCCTTCTCCTGACTTGCTGCGGCCAAACAGTGTGAGATGGATGGGAACAAGTGGTGCCGTGGCGTGCTCCAAATGCCACCCGGGCACCGCCTGCCCAGGGCGCTCTGCTTGCTGGCCTGACCCTCTGCTGAGGAAACTAGTCCTGCTTGGCTTGGCTTGCGCCGTGTCGTCCTGCTTGCCCAGCMCAGCCAGGTGAGGGGTGGCTGAGATCTGGGGGCTGTGTGTGCTCACAGCCCCAGCTGTGGGCAGATGTGGGTCACTCCCCTTAGCAGAGAGGGGCCCACCAAGCATGGCAGTAAGGAGTCTCCCCGCACTTGGGGCTTTCTTGCTACGCTGGCTTCTCTGTGATGCCCAGGCCTCCTCTAGAAGCAGGTCATAAGGCTRCGTGGAGGAGTGAAGCCCTTTTCAAGCAGGATCTTAGATACTTTCCTAGCAAAAGGGTTTCCTGCAGGAGTGTCAGCCCTGGGTGGTCTAGATCATCTACTTCTTGCACCCCTCACAGCATCCTCGCTGTGAGTCAAGAGAGAGGAGAGACAAGTACAGCCCGTCCAGCAGCACGCACATCCTCCTGGACCCCCCAGCACTGATCCAGCCCCATTACAGTGCTCACAGCTTGAGCAATCATGGACCGAACTATCTCCAATGCCCCTGGAACTAGACCTGGGTTCCAGATCTGCTTGGTCTCCCAAGCCATACAAGACTTTGGCCATGCACGAGTCAAGACCTCCTCGTCCCATACCAGTGTTAAGAGCRCATCAACACAAACCCTCCTGGGCTGCCAGTGCCGGCAGCAATGGGGCCCTTATCAGAGCTGTTATCGGGGTGTTCCTCCGGCACCCACAATCCCCTGCTTTTTACGCTATCGCCTCTTGGGTATCTTGGCTCATTCCCCAGAAGGAGAAAGTTCAGGCTGGAGCAAAACAGCAGCAAACACAGGCGTTGRCACACTTGTCCTCAGCACCTGGGGCAGTGCCCCCAGCCTCCATCAGGAGAGGGGACATCATCCAAGAAGTCTCCAGCCCAGGTTAGCAGCAAGGTGTCTGCAAGCACGGGCTGATGGAAGGATGCTGCTCTCCAGTGCCTGCAGGTCACTGCAGAGCTGCTTGGTGACCATGGGGGTGTCTGTGCTCACTTCAAGAGCAGGCAGTTTYTGCCTCCACTGCCTGCCTCTCACCCTCGGACCCTGTCACCGCCTTCCTGGGGGGCCACCTGGGTGCCTGGCTCGTGCCCTCTAGCCTGGCAGCCAGCACTAGGGATGGTGCCTTGCCTCCCTCCCACGCCTGCTATGCCAAGTGCCCGCGGTGCACCGGAGCAAGGGGGAATCTCTGCATCTCCTGCTCCCGTCCGCGCCTCGGCTGGGCGGGTTGCAGCCCAGAGCCGGCTCTGCCTCTCGCTGTGCAGCCGGGCGCCCGGGCTCGAAGCCGTTTGCTTTGGCCGACAGCCTGGCTCCTCCTTCCCCACCTGAGAGGCAGCTCCGAGTTATGTAAGTGCAGGAAGAGCGTCTCCGACGAGAAGGGCTCTGAGCGAGCAGCCTGCTCGGCGCGAGATGCTGGCTTCGCAGAGGAGGCGTGGGCACGCATCCCGGGTGGTTGCCCGCGTGGAGCGGCCACGTGCGTGCCCACCTGCCTTGCTGCGCCGCGCAACGGGAGCAGACGCTGCCCCAGGGGTGGCCTGCGCGCAYGTGCACAGCCCAGGAGGGTGAGCGAGCGAGCGTGCCTGCAGGTGCAGGAAGGGGAGGAGATGGTGCCATGTCGAGCTTTCCCCCCATCAAGCCTGGGAGCTGCTGGCCTCCAGCACAGGGTGGCCACTGTGCACCTCTCGAGCTCTCTAGGGTGGCCGCTAGCTGGTCACCAGGGTCAGTCCCCTCCCAAAGCTGCAGCCGGGAGTGCAGGACCAGAGACAGCTCTGCCTCCCTCCCAGGGCCTGGGGTCCCCCACCTCACAACCTGAAATGCCTGCACAGTCTCCTGGATCCCCTGGATCTCCTCTTGCATGGCTCCATGCACTGCACTGTGCTCGAGAGGCACGCAGCCCCAGCCCACAGGAGCCTTCTCCAAGCTGAGCCAACACAGCTGCAAGGGCTTTCAAGGGCTCGGAAATGCCACCCTGGCCAAATCTGCCACTAGTCAATACATGCCAGGGAGAGGCACAAAAGCTGCTGAAAGCAGGACCTAGCAGCAGAACTCTTGGATTTGCTCCTCAGCTTCCTTCTAACTCTAAGAGGTAGCATCACGGCTGTTTCCTGAGCGACAGGCAGCCCGTCTCCTTGTGAGATCTCCATGCACAGACAAGAGGAAGCTGGAAAAGATGAGCATAAGGTCCAGGGGCCAAGACACACACCCAGAGGCTGCTGTTCTTCCTTGGGCACACGGGGCACCAGGGAACAGAGGAGCACCATTGATCACAATGCGTGCAGAGCCATCCGGACCTGCACCCAGGGAACATACTGGCACCACCCATGGTCAGGGGACGGGGCTGCCTGCCACACAAGGGAGCCCATGCTTCTCCTCACCTAGTGCCCCTCTGCGCTGCCACTGCTACCTGGCTGCAGAGTCCCAGAGCCACTCCTGCCACTGCCAGCTCAGGGTCCCGCAGGTCCCACATCTTGGCCCCGCACTGCTCGCCACGAGCCCCYGAACACTCAACCACCCCAGGCCTGGCTCCAGAGGCGTCCCTGAGGACCTGCCAGTTGCACCCACCTGTGGAAAAGTAGGAGGATAGAGAGCAGTGTCTGGTCAATGTTCCTGTTGCAGATGCCCTCGTTGAAGAGGTAGCAGGGGTCCCGCACGACGGGCTCCAGTGAGTCCTGGCGCATGATGGAGCTCAGCTTGTCAGTGTTGAGGTTCTTGCGGACCAGCTGCTCCTGCAGCTGCCGGAAGCTGCTCACGGTGGGGCTGCCCAGGTTGTTGTTCTCGCCGCCGGCCCCCTCCTCCAGCCCGCTCCGGTTGGCCAAGTCGAGGCAGCAGCTGCAGCAGTCGAGCCCCACGGGCGAGCGGCACTCCTCGGCGGGCGACGAGGACATCCCGGGCCGCTGCTCCGCGCTGCCACGGCCCTGCGGGGCCGCCTTGCGCACGGC